GGAGCATGTAGTTGGATTTTTAGTTCCAATCAAAGATGTATGAGGAGCAATTTGATTTGATTTGACAGAACTATGACTTGTGGATTTTCACAATCCATTCAGTTGAAGTTCATTAACTTCATTTTGAAGCATATCACGCTCAATTTCAAAACTTCCAACTTCAAGGCCTAGTCTTTCTTTTCTCTTTTGATTTTTCTGAGTTCATTTAGAACTCTCTCAATATCTGCAAGAGCAATATCAATAAATTCTTGGAGTTCATAACAATTAGGACATGTAGGAAGACGTACCTCACTAGTTACTTCATCTTCCATAAAATCGAATTCACCCGAGTCTTCTTCCTCATCCGTTCCTTCATCTGCCATGAGCCTAAGTTCACCTGAGTCCTCATTAATGTCTTCTTTATGACTATGAAACACATATTTGCAATTTCTTCATGGTCAAATTCCTCTTCATCACTCCAGGCTCCAAAAGACTTTTTCTTTTGAAAGTTCCTGCTGAGTTTCTTCTTCAGTTCGGGGCATTCAGCTTGAATGTGTCCATGTTTCCTACATTCATAGCACCTTCCATCATTTTTATCATTATCATTATTCATCCTTCCTTTTCTGAAGTTTGATTTACCTCTCCTGCTGGTTATGTTTTTCCTCATCTTGCTTGTCATAACTTGAGAAAGCATGGCTATGTTTTCATCATGTTCTCCTCCTTCTCTTCCTCTTCCTCTTCATTTTTTGGTTCAGCCACAGTCGCTTTGAATGCAACTATTTTCTTCTTTTCTTGTTAAATTTGCCTGTCCAGATGAGTTTTCTCGAAGGCAATTAGATCACTTCTAAGTTCATGATAGGACATCTTGTCAAGATACTGAAATTCCAGAGCAATAACTTTGGGTTGCCAAATAGTGGGAACACTTCTTAGAATTTTTCAGACTTGTTCTCCGCTTTTTATTGGCCTACCAAATGACTTTAAATCTCCAAGAATTTTGTTGAATCTTGAAAACATTTTCTCTACTGATTCTCCATCCTTCATTTGAAATAATTCATAGTCCCGAACAAGGAGATCGATCCTTGTTTCTTTTACTTTGTTAGTTCCTTCATATGTGACCTCTAATTTATCCCACATTTCCTTAGCAGTTTTACAGCTCGATATCTTTTCATATTCTTCTCCACTGATAGCATTATATAGTAGATTTTTTTGCTTTGGCATTCACTGTTATGACGGTTGATTGTTCATCAGTGTAGTCATCTAAGTCAAGTGGATCAGTTGATACTATGACTTGACCATCTTTATCTTTCTTTGGCGAAATTGGAAGATTTTCCTTTTTGATCACGCGTCAAACTTTAATGTCATATGATATAGTGTATGTTTCCATACGTACTTTCTAGTGAGAAAAGTGTTGCCCATTGAAATATGGAGGTCGTACTGAGAGGTTCCTTCTTGAAATAGTGCTCCAACGATTGTGTTTGATCCCATGATCTTTTTTTCACTAGCTATTAAGCAAAGTTTATGAGTAGCTCTAATACCAATTGAAAGTACAAGGGGGGTGAATTGTAGCCAATTAAAATCTTGGTTGACTAAGTGTGAGTTTAGTCGACTAGGTTTTGCATAGTGAACAACTTCAGTAGGAATAAATAAACAAATGGAAAGGTAAAGAAGGCACAACAGTTTTTATACTAGTTCAATACCAGTATGGTACCAACGTCCAGTTCCCTTAAGTCACAAGGGTTCTATTAGATCTTTGATCAAGAATTACACTGGTGATGGTTTTATTACGTTCATCATCAATGATATTCAGCAATGATGGTTTTTGTAAGGTTGACACAACTTTCTTTTTGTGTTCTAACTCTTCTTATCTTTTGTGACACTTGTAGACTCAAGAATATAGTGTTTGTACTAAGAACTAGAAAGGCTTAGAAAATAGTTTGTATAGTTGCGTGAGTCTTCTTCTTGAAGTAGCCCGTCTTCTTATAGGAGAGATTGAATAGCTGTTGCAAATTGATCTTTGATTGAGGCACAAAATCGTCTAAGAGATTTACCCAAGGGGTGCCTCCGTATCCTGCACTTGAGATGGGCTGGATTTATTTACGTCCTTCCCCTTCATATCCAAATTTCAGGGAGTGATTTGTGGCTTCAATTTGGTTGATCAATCTTCTGATTCTAATTTGGTCCTTGAAGTATGGCCTGATATTCTCTAGCAGCTGCACTTGATATTTTTCCTTGTTGAGATAGTTTCGTTATCCTTTGATTGAGACTAAAGCGTCTGGACTGATTTTGTTTCCCTTTTGATGGCATATCTTTGACTAAAAATTTAGCATTTTTCATGTTGCCTTTGATCTTGTTTCCATTCTGATATCGTTGCCTTTGAACTTCCCTTAAAGTAGTGCTACTTCCTGATTTCCTGCAATCAAATACATACGATTAGATTTGCACTATTGTCATCATCAAAATTTAGATGTAACATGTTATAGAATCTGATTTTGCTGACGCGTAACCCATTGACTTTCATTGTATCATAGAAGCAATTGGTAAGAAATTAACTTGAACATTAACAACAACAACAACAACAACAACAATAACAACAACAACAATAACATACTCAATAAATCCATATGTAGGATCTGAGGAGGATAGTATATATGCAAACTTTATCTCTACTTTTCGAAGACAGAGAGTTTGTTTTCGATAGACCCTCGACTGAAGGAAAGCATAATCGTAGCAATCATTAAAAGGAAAAACGATAGTAGTGAAAAAGCTAAGAAGTAGTAACAATAGCAAGAAAAATAAGACAACCAAGCAAAGAACTAACAAATTATAACAGAAAACTAACACTAACGCAACCCATATACAGAAGAGAAACGCGCGACCACCTACTTACCTACTAAACTATTTGAATATTAGTTTCTAGGAAAGGCGACTGAAATAACTTTTTCCTAACACTTTATAGCTGCTGCCTCATTAACTGAAAGAGAAAACTTTGAATTGGAGCTCTAGAAATTTCTTTTTCTTTTCTAGTTTGTGAAGTTGAGCTTGTCTTGGGAAGAAGTAAATATCTTAGTTAATCTTAACTTGAGGAAATTTACTTATAAATGGACTTATGTGTTATCTGCTTAGTGTGTTGGGAGCAACATATATGCGTAGTGACGAGTGTATATACGTATGTCAAGGTTATAGCATGCTCGAGTAGAGTTAGTCTTATTCATGCTTTTGTCTGTTACACATATTGTTCGCTTACGCTATATGGATTATGAGACTATTCAATTATTCGCATGTTAGGACTTGTTGTGAGATATTAGCGAGATGGTTGAAAAATAAATAAAATTTTAAACCAATTCCAAATCCATTATCACAAGAAGAAAAGTGGGTGCAATGGTAATTAAAAATATCCATGAATAATTTGTATAATGTAGTACCTTTAGCATTCACATCAATAATAATTTCTGAAAATACTGGAGCAAGAAGAACAACCAGTGAATTAATAAAAGGAAATTGAGAGATTTTGGATTAGCTAACAGATTAAGGAGTAACTTTTAAAAGTTTGTTGGTAGAGGTAAATTTAACCAGATAGTATAATAGTAGAGGTAAATTTGATCGATTAGTATAACGAAAATTAAATATAGATAATAATATATGTGGCCCTTTTCCCTATTTGTCCTATTTCCTAAACTCGTGGAGCCAATATCTCCTGACTCCCACTAGGGGTGTTCATAAAAATCCGAAAATCCGAACCAAATCGAAAACCAAACCAAACCGACCAAAAAAATTGATACTTTTTGGTTTGGTTTTGGTTTTGAAATTTAAAAATCGATCAAATTTGGTTTGGTTTTGGTTCTAATTAAAAAAAAATCGAACCAAACCGAATATATGAGTAGCTATTTTAAATTTATTATTACACCATTATATATGTATACTTTTATACAATGTTTTAAAAATTTATAGTAAATAGTAATCGTTTGCACTTTTAGTACAGTTCTTTACCTTTACATTCTAGTTTAATTGGTAGTTTTCTTTTGTTAAGTGTAAGAATCTATTTCATGTTAAAAATAATATATTTTTAATTGAGTCCTTAAATTATTCATCACTATTTGATTCAATTATCATCAATATATCTTGGTAAATAATAGATTTCTCAAAGGACAATTGATTTGATAGTATTACGTTAAAATGTGATCGCCGAAATGTGTGTTTGGTAGTGTATGTCTTATATTTAAGAAAAAACCGACAAATAACCGGAAAAACCGAAAAACCGATATAAACCGAATCGAGAAAAAACTGACTTAATTGGTTTGGTTTGGTTTGGTTTTAATATTTAAAAAACCGACTTACTTAATTTGATTTCTTTTTAGGAAAAACTGATCCAAACCGAACCATAAAGCCCCTAATTCCCACGTAGAGATTCCCCTTCGCCAAAGGCCAAAATCCTTCCACAACACTGAATTTACTTATCCACCAAACCCTACACCAAACTATATTCTCCACCCTAAACTTTCAAATTCAATAGATAGGGAGCAAAACCTTCTGCAGCTCCCCTATCTTTATCACAAATACCCCCCTCTTTCTCTTGCTGTCCATTCAATTACCAATTTCTCCTATCCAATGGCTTGCTCTGCTTCTTCTACAGCACTTCTTTCTTCCAACCCAAAAGCAGCTTCCATTTCCCCCAAATCCTCCTTTCAAGCTCCCATTTCTCAATGTTTATCTGTACCTTCCTCTTTCAATGGGCTCCGTAATTGTAAG